AGGAAAAATAAATAGAAGACCCTGTCTGATTTTCGGGGAAACATGGTATTATCTGCATTTTTATGTACAATAATCCTGAGACCCAAGGTCATAGAGCTGGAAAACTGTTGAGCTAGGATTTAAGCCTAGGCAGAGTGACTTCAGAGAAAGTGCTTCTAATCACTGTCACACTGCATTACAATCCAGAGTTCTTTTAACACCAACGTTCAGAAAGTATTATCCCTTTAGAACGATTTCGTTTCAATCCCAGAGCCACTTGTCAACCTCTTGGCCCAACACCTACTAGCGTCCATGTACGCGATTTATGAAGCGATCTTCATAACCCCTGAAGCCGTCTGTTCGGAGCCATCTGTTTGTTTGCATTGAAGCCAGTAGTGACCATCAGAAAACGACAGTCTCAGAACTTTGAGACTATCAAAAAAATATCCAAGCAATTGTTTTCTGGTATTTCACTATATTACATTTTCACGTAGGAATGATGCACGAAGATAGGAAACACTTCCCTACCAAGTGATGTTTAATCAGAAGGGCATTTGCTAAAAGGTAAGTGCCCTTTTCCCCGATGGTATTCCCTGTGGTATTTTCCCAGATACCTGCCAAGGCCCTGGGAGGGCCCTAAAAATATTCAGTGCATAGTTTTCTCCTGTTTGTCTTCAAGAAGGCCCCTGAAATGTTATGCCCCCAAAACGTTATACATTTCAGGCCCTCAATACCTAGATTTCTCTCTGCTTTACCCCAGTGTAGAATTTTGCATCCAGGCTCTAGAGATAGTAGAATCTCAGTTTATATTAATAACTCTGACTTTGACATTTACTGTGAGGCTTTGGGTGAATTATTTATCTCTTGAAGCCTCTGTCTCTGCATCTGTTAAATGGAATACGTACTCCAGACAGCATATGATTGTTGGAGAAGAAGAGTGGCTACAGTCAGCAAGGACAAAATGTGAACAAATGCTGAAATACTGTTTCCTTGAGAATTGCATTCATCTGCAGTAGCAACACCTTGAAAACTGGCTAAAATGAATAAAGATCCATTTTTCCAACTTAATGAGAAGTCTGAGAAGAGGCTCAGAGATGTCACGGGGACCCAGAATCACACCTTTCTCTTTACACTTCCTTAGTGTAAACTCCATCCTCATGGCCACAAAATGGCTGCTGTGCTCCAGCTGTTGTGTTTGCATTCCAGGAAAAGAAAAAGGGGGAGAGAGCGAACATAAGGTATGCCGATGCACCTATCTCTTTGTATCAGGAAGATAAAAGTATTTCCAGAAATTTCTCTGTGTAGGGAACAGAGCTCATTTACAGCTGATATGCAGTAACCCTATTCATGTTTCCAGGGATGCCTGGAACCATGGTACTGACCCTTGGTCAAGGAAGGGGTGAAACGCACTAGTTAGTGATTTATAATGTTCTTTAAGTCCAAGACTCTTACACCAGCTTGTCTACCTTGTTTTAAATATATAGATTGGCGATCCACGCCGGTTACACGTGGGTACAGTCTGGCTTGGATTAACTGACCAGGGGGCATAGAAGACCCCCTCAGTAAACTTGCACCTTAGCTGCTCTGAGACAAGACATTTTACGTGACTCTTCGTGGTTTATGAGCTGATGAGGAAATGCCTCCTCCGAGCCCGGGAAGCTGCGCCTGTGTGTCTCACACAGCCCGATGCTCCTCTCCGCTCTCTGTCCTCCGCTGTGCTGTGACCTTCGTCTTTATTAAGACACACACACATATTTATATATGTGCATCTTTACAGATATAAAGATATAGGATAGACATGTTCACAGAGACATACGTCATCCATACACATTATCTACCCAGATATCGACTGCATCTATTTTAGAGTCTACATTTCATCCACATATACTGTCGTGAGTGCTTTTACTTCTCCTGCCCTGTGTAAATGCTGCGACCACCCAGGAAATCTCTGTGCATATCCCAGCTGTAAGGGACCCGGGGAGTGAGGAGCTTTAACTGGCCACGTCTCCTAAACGCCACCGGGATTCTGGGCGTGAGAAAGAGAACATCGCCCATCCAGGGCAGGGGTTCTCAAACTTTAACTAACATGGAAATCAGACTGCCCAGCCCCGGCCCCAGAGTTTCCGATTATCAGGTGTGGGCTGGGGCCTGAGAATTTATGCTTTTAACAACTTCCCATTGGATGCTGATGCTGGTTGGCGGGAGCACAATTGGAGCGCCGCTTACCTGGCGGAATCAACACACAGTTCACAGCCGCAAAGCTGTGGAAACAACCCGAGTGCCCATCGATACACGAGTGGATTAATAAAATGTGGTCTATGTACACCATGGGGTACTACTCAGCTCTAAGAAACAACGGTGATCTAGCACCTCTTGTATTTCCCTGGATAGAGCTGGAGCCCATTCTACTAAGTGGAGTCTCCCAAGAATGGAAAAACCAGCACCACATGTGCTCACCGGCAAACTGGTATTAACGGATCAGCACCTCAGTGAACACACAGGAGTTACATTTATCGGGTGTCGGGCAGGTGGGAGGGGGGAGGGGGACGGGTGTGTGCAAACATGAGTAAGATGTGCGACGCTGAAGCTCTGACTCGAGGGGCGGGGGGACAAGGGCAATATACATAGCCTTAACATTTGCACCCCCATAATATGCTGAAATAAAAACAAAAAGAGACGGAATTCGTTTTGCTTTGCCTTTGACAGCTTCTCCTGGTGTCAATTTTATGGTCAAAGCTGAGGACTGAACTCTAATTTTTTTGCTAAAAACTCCTTCCTAAGGAGGCCAGCAGGGTTAGGCTGACAAACTTTAAATTCCCACTAAGCGGCTTTTGTTAACCAAACAAAGCAGTGGTTTACTTCCTGACCTGACTCTGGTATGGCATTAACGTCACCTAAAAGATAAGAAGCCCCTGTCTTAACTCAAGCATCCTAGCAGATGCCTATTCTTAAATTTAAAGCATCTTAAAACATCCTAGCAGGCGCCTATTGTAAATTTAAAGTGTCCTCCTGTCTGGACCTCCCAGAGTGCTCACACCCTTATCTTAAAGTAAGCATATCCTTTCTGGTCTTCTAGATAAAGACTAACTCTCTCAGCCAATTGCCAGCCAAAGAATCTTTAGACCCACCTATAACCTGTAAGCCCCCGCTTCGAGATGTCCCACCTTTTTGGGCCAAACCAATGTATGATTTGTGACCTTGCCCGTAACCCCTGCCTCTCTAAAAATGTATAAAACTGAACTGTAACCCAGCCACGGCGAGCCCACTTGCCCAAGGCCTCTTGGCAGTGGCTCCGGGTCATGGTCCTCAAATTTGGCTCAGAATAAATCTCTTTAAAATTATTTTACAGAGTTTGACTTTTTTCCGTCAACAAAGCAAAGCAGCAAGTATATAAAGCCTGGATGAAGCTCATTTCTATCTTCTCAGGGCAAATGCTTGCGTGCGCGTGCGTGTGCGTGTGCGTGCGCGTGCGTGTGCCTGTGTGTAAGGCCGGTCTCTGGCTGTATTCGCCGAGCACGGGAAGGCACTCACTCCTGGAGAGGCTGGATGTTCGGCCAGAGGTCTCTGAGCCCGTCTCAGAAGTGAGGAGGGAGCCGCGGGCACCAACTGCCGTGCAGAGAACACGGAGGGAAAATGGATGACGGACGCATTCTAGGGACAGCCAGGTCTGAAACTGTTGTCTTGCACAGTGGGAAAGGTGCCAAAGAGACCGCGTGTTCAGGAAGGCGCGGGCACGCGCAGCAGGGAGGAAGGCGGCAGCCAGCCAGGGGAGCTGCGGAGAGCGGCGCCCACGGCTCCGCGCCCACGGCTCCGTGCCCACGGCTCGGCGCCCACGGCTCCCGTTTGCTCCGGTGGCAAGAACGCTTTTGTTCTGGGGCTGTCGCGGGTGGGGGCTCCTCGCCGGCCAAGGGACCTAGGCCCAGACCACGCCCGCGCCACTTGGGAGCCCCTGACCTGGCTCTGCTCTCCTGCGCCCCGACCGCCCATTTCCTGCCTCTCGTGTGACACAGGTCCACCGTCCTTTTATCCGCAATCTGAAAACCCAAACTCTTGAAAACCAAAAGTCTGTGACTCGTTTCTGGTGAGACACGCCCCGACCTGAACACATTTGGCAGCAGCGCCTGGCCTGAGACGATTAGCCATATCTTTAGAGAACTTTCTCACGGGATGGGAGCAGTTAGCTGTACATTCCAATGCAGAGACACTAACACGCTGGACTATGAGGCGCTGCCCAGACAAGCTGCAGGGAGTTTGCAAAATCAGTGGGGTATGCATCCCATCGCCTTCCTAAACAAGGAAACTTCAGAATTCTGAACCACATCCAGCCCCGGGGCATTCCGGACCGCATTCGCAGGTTCGTCCTGGTTCCCCTCCTTGATGGATGTTCCGGCCACAGCCTTGCCACGCCTCTGCAAAAGCATTCCGCGCGGTTCTGAACACACCCAGGTGTGCCTGAGTCCCCGCGGCCTGGGGCTCTGGCCCGCTAGCCCTGGGTGGAGTCGAGTCTTTGAACTCGGCAGAAAGCCTGGCTCGCAAAGTCCCTTCTCACTGGACTGACTGACAGGCGGGAGAGGAAGTTTCTACATGCTGTCTCTGCTACTTTCTTGGGAAAATCACCCTAATAGTTTAAGCCTCCCGGTGTCTCTCTGTGACAGCACTCAGCGCAGTCTCTATAGACACGGAGAAGAAAGCAAGGCTCAGAACAGCCGAGCAAGTTCCTGCATCCCTGTCCCGACAAGACTCCAGACTCGACAGCGTGCACTGCTAGAGACAGGGACAGAGTCTGCCATCTTCCAGGCAGGCCAAGCTGCACCATTTGCAGAGCCCTATAAAACTGAAAATGCAGGGCCCTTGCCTAAAATTTGAGGATTTTAAGATGGCAACAGCAGAGCGTTAATCCAAGTGCAAGGCCCTGCGCAATGGCTCAAGCCAGACACGTTGAAGGCAGCATTCGTTTGCTATGTTTTCCAAAGCACCTAACAGAATGTGACTGGAAGAAATATTATTTTAATCAACTGCTATCAAATGCAATCAACGGAAGATAATGCCAAGCAACGACGTCCGCAAAATGTTACAGAGATGGCACCACGACATCCTCCCCCAGTTCAGAGCTATCCATCCGACAGTCTGCTCAACTTGCAAACTGCTTCTTGATGAGTTGGATCAGCATTTCCGTAGCAAGTGGATTGCCCGGGAGATGGCAACACTGCTGAAAATCCTCTCTGTGCTTAAAGCCATTTATTATCCTAAAATTTTTTCCCTCTTTCTATGCACCAAGTTGTAACCTCTTCCAATAAAGCATTACCCACCACTTTATCAAAATGTTTTTTTCTTTTTTCAGTTGCACCGTGTGGATTTGATGGTGCGTCCATTTGCCATGGTAAGTTTGCAGGCGTCCAGCGTCCTGTCATCGGACATGCAGCTGCTCAATTGCTGCCAACTCTTGACATGAAGAAAGCCAAGCAGCCAGATGACTGCACGGTTATGCCTAATGGGCAGAAAAGGCCGGCTTCATTACCGCTGAGCCAGCAACGTTCAATGATCTTAACAAATGAAAGGGGAGCAGACGTGCTTAAACCCGAAACAACGCATAATTCAAAACCCTCTTTTGTGACTGTGGAACTTTTTTTTCCCTCCAACGTTCTGTCAACTGCGGTTTGAGTATGACACACGGAGAGCTCCGGTTAGACAAGATAAAGATGCAGGGGACTGAGGCAGGTAAACCAGAGACCTGTCTACGGGTGTCCCTATTTGGTCACCTTGTACAACTAACCCTAAGGACAAAAGGGTGCTCAAGCTTTGGGGACCCTGGAGATAAACAGCTCCAGCTTCCTCGTCTGAATCTCAGAATCTGAGAAAGATCTGACGGTCAGAGTGGCTCCTCCTGCACCCTGCCCAGGCCGGGGGCGAGAACAAGACTCTCACCTCTCCGTCTCTCCTGAAACGCGTGGGGTGGCCGAGGGCTCGCCTTCTACCGTGCTGCTCTAGAGTCCACATCGGGAACAGGGCTGAGGTGTCCAGGAAACTGGTGAGTGCAGATCAGCTGTCCTAGTATCAGAATTCGAGAAATGTCCACAGAACAAGTCCCTAAAGGAGGCAGACGTTAACTGTTACAAGTTGAAACTATTCACTGAATTACCGTGTTTCCCCGAAAATAACACAGCGTCTTATGTTCATTTTTCCTCAAGAACACACCCTAGGGCTTATTTTAAGGGGATGTGTTATTTTTTTTTAAGTACGCTACAACCATCTGCATTGATTCAAATAGAACATCTGGAACATCATCCTCTCCAAACCCCGAATCCCATCCTGAATGTCTTGCGACTCTGTTTCCTTTAGAGCCACCGGCCCCGATCTCTCCTGCCGAGCACTAGAGCTGTCACGGGCGGAGGAGAAGGGCTGCTCGTGTTCTTTCCCGCTCCGCGACGACACGCACGGGTTGTGCAGATGCTGCGCAGCCACGCCCGGCACTAGGGCTGATTTTCGGGGTGGGGCTTCTGTGGCGCACATGCTCAGACATCCTGCTGGGGCTTATTTCATGGGTAGGGCTTATTTTCGGGGAAACACAGTAGTAGGATTTATCTCAGAAGGATTTTGTTCCTAGATGAGTCTGCTGCTCAATAAATATTAAATGAATCAACAAAGCAATGAATCAGTCCTCGCTTTCCTGCCTCGTTTTCCAGAACCTAGTAGACAGGCGCTCAGTAAAGATCACTGAATAACTTTTAGAAGGTTTTGGAATTTAGAAGGGCTATAAAATTTGGAATGCTTCTGTGACCCTTTTATGGCTCCCCTGTTGCCCCTTCTCAGCTCCAGTCCTCTCTCTAAGGCAGCAGTGCCCGGGGACTCGGAGAGCCGTGCCGCGGGGAGGGGGCTTCCATGCTGTCCAGTGTGCGTCCTGTCCGGCGTCCGTGCTGTCCGGTGTCCGTGCTGTCCTGTGTCCGTGCTGTCCAGTGTCCGTGCTGTCCGGTGTCCGTGCTGTCAGGTGTCCGTGCTGTCCAGTGTCCGTGCTGTCCTGTGTCCGTGCTGTCAGGTGTCCGTGCTGTCCGGTGTCCGTGCTGTCCTGTGTCCGTGCTGTCCGGTGTCTGTGCTGTCCGGTGTCCGTGCTATCCAGTGCGGTAGCCTCATGTGGCCACTGAGCCACATGTAAGTGTGCTAGTCCCACCAGGACACTGATCTTTTTTTTTTTTTTGAGACAGAGTCTCGCTCTGTTGCCCAGGCTAGAGTGAGTGGCGTGGCGTCAGCCTAGCTCACAGCAACCTCACACTCCTGGGCTCAAGCGATCCTCCTGCCTCAGCCTCCCGAGTAGCTGGGACTACAGGCATGCGCCACCATGCCCGGCTAATTTTTTCTATATTTTTTTATTTGGCCAATTAATTTCTTTCTATTTTTAGTAGAGGCGGGGTCTCGCTCTTGCTCAGGCTGGTTTCCAACTCCTGGCCTCGAGTAATTCTCCCGCCTCGGCCTCCCAAAGTGCTAGGATGACAGGCGTGAGCCACCAGGCCCGGCCTACAGACACTGAATCGTTAATGTGATTTAAGGCACAGTGCATGCCATTCTAGGTTCCTGAGCATTTGTCAGGGCTGTTTAAAGCCCTCTAACATCTAACTTCCCAGATTTTCCTTCTCCGTGTTTTGCTTAGCCTGCTGTCTGCCTTCACTGCTGCAGGCAGCTGCACCATCCAGTCAGTGGCTGCTGATTGTTTCTGACAGATGCCCTGGGGAAGAGGCTGTTCGTCCTAGGTGGGTTCCGAGTCAACTCAAATAAAGACGGTCCTCCGGCGCGAGGTCTTCCAGGGACTCCCCAGAGCAGTCTGACAATGACAGCTCTCTGGGACGGGGGTCTGTTCTGCCTCCTCCGGGGACTCTGGCTGTCACATGCCAGGCTCTCCGTGTACAAGGCTCCCATGGTGCTGGGGCCACGGGGAGGGCCATGGCCAGAGAACACACCACAAAGCTGGCCCTTCTCACTGAGATGCGGACATCTTCCTTAAGTAAATCCTCTCCAGATTGCTGCAGCATTTGGTCAATTTCTAGAGTTCCAAAATTGGATTCTAAAAATGTTCGCTGGCATTCTCACTGGCCTACAGAGGCGGAGGTCCCTTGCCCATGTCACTGCCACATCCGTCTTCAAACCTCGGGCACAACGCCACCTCTTCTGAGAAGCAGCTTCCCCTATTGACAGCATTTGTTTTTTCCCTCTCTCTATGCTTCTGTAAAGGAAAATAAAACTCTCAGAACCCCCAACTCCAATGAAGAGGGCAGGTCAAGTGTGGAGACTGAGTCACGCAACCCCTTTCCAAAGGAACAGCGACTACTAACGTTACGCATTGACCAGATTCCCACGGAGAGGTGAAAGGCCTCGGCATCTACAAAGGACTGTCTCCTAGATCGTTCACAGAGAAAGCCTTTGCTGGCCACATAAACAAGGATATGATAACTTTAAGGACGTGCATATTGTAACTTTAGGTCTGAAGGCTGAGTCTAGCTCTCAACTGAAAGCCTGTTCAATACCACACTGATAATGCTGATTATACGTTTATCCTCCCAGGTGCAGAACAGAGACAAGACTAGACCAACCATTCTTCCACTTCCAGAGATGTCAGTGTGATTGTTCCTTCCTTTACTCCCTTTTTTGGCTTCAAATATTCGCCTTATTGTATATACTGTGTGGACTTCCTGGGCACTGAGTAAAGTCCCGCAAGAACGTAACCATTTGTCTTTCTGCTAACCTGCCCCTCTTCCCGCATGCCCCTCTCCTTCTAAGGAAATACATAAATACTAAATTTCATAAAAAACCTTTTTGGGAAAAAAACAATCACAATGCATCTATGGCTTGTGTTTTTCCTGGATGCACCCTAAAGCTGGTTTATTTATTTATTTATTATTTCAAAATATTAATTAAGGGGGTGAAGGGTTTTGGCTATCTTGTATAATGCTTATGTCAGGGCTTTTGCTGTGCCCACCATCAGAAGAGCATTCATTATGACCAACAGGTAAGTTTGTATCCAACCCTGTCCCCTTTCTTGGTTTCTCATGTTCCTTCTATCACTTTGTGCCTGCTTGCACCCAACTATTTGAAGCTGGTTTAACAAACCTTGATTGATGAGACCTTTGCCTTGGTCAAGGCATTGCAGATCTGGGTCTGGTGAGGGCTGTCTTCCTAGTTTACGGGAATCTTTCTTCTGGCTGTGGCTTCCCCTGGAGGCAGAAGGGTCTGCAGGGAGCTCCCTGGAGACTCTCTGTAAGGCACCGATCTCTCACATGGGCTCCAGCCCCATGACCTAGTCGCTGCCGACAGCCCTCACTTTCCCACACCATCAAATCGGGGTTAGGTTTCCATATCTGAATTTTGGGGGGACACAGGCATCGAGTCTACACCATTTCCCTTTGCATGCAGTATTGACGCGGCAAACGTCTGGCGCTGGGACGTGGCCGCTTGCCGCCTCCCTGTCGCTCCGCATCCCCTGATAGGGAAAGGCCCCCACCCGGGGCCCCATGGCTGAACTCACTGCTGATTGGATATTAAAGCTATATTTGCTGATTGGATATTAAAGCTTGTTGCTGATTGGATTTTAAATTAGCCACAGCTAATTGGATATTAAAGCTTGTTGCTCATTGGATATTAAAGCTTATTGCTGATTGGATATTAAAGCTTATTGCTGATTGGATATTAAGCTTATTGCTGATTGGATATTAAAGCTTGTTGCTGATTGGATATTAAAGCTTGTTGCTGATTGGATTTTAAAGCTTGTGGCTGATTGGATATTGTTGCTGATTGGATGCTTTTTGAATCCCACCAAGTGTATAAAAGCGGAGGAGAACAAGGAAGCAGGCTCAGAATTTGGTGGCATGCCCCTCTGAGCCTGCTGGTGAAATAAAGCCTGATCCCCCGACCCTCTGTGTGCCGCTCGGTTCTTTCCCCAGTCAGTTGCTGTTAACATTTGCTGTTACACTTGCTGGAACATCCCCACAAAAAAGAATCAGTCAGCCCAAAATGTCCAAAGCATCAAGAAATCTCACTCTAAGTTCCTGCCAGAACAAATGCCGAAGCAGGTTTTAAATATCCGACATTAATTCTTGCTACCTTTTCAAACTAAATATTTCTGGAGTTTTTTCCCCTTTAATTATAATACATGAGAGTCAGGAAAGTTTATTGTTGCTCAGTCAGTTCCGGGTACCAGGAAAATCAGAAAATGAAACCTGTCTTCCCTCCCTTCTACCCTTCGGCCCCGTTCTTACTTTCTTCCTCCCCTCTGTTCCTCCTTTTTCCCCTCTTTCCTTTTTCTCAAAGTTCTCCAAAGATGGCTAACAGGTGCAAGCAAAGATTAAGAAGAGGATCAAGCTGCATAATTTGCATTTCAAGTTCACCGTGGAAATTCACACTCCTCGAACCAGCAGGAAGCTCAGGGAGCTGGTTTTCTCTGGCGACATGTGCACTCCATAAGGCACAAATTGCTGTTGTCAGAATAACTGAGCTAAACTATCAGGATATTTGCCTAAACTCAGAAAGCTTGTCATATAAATTGCCACTGGGCAGGGACTGCATATGGGATTAGAGCCTGCCTTTTGGAGGGCGATTTGTCAGCCCTGTCGGCAGAACTGGCATAGTAAATAACAATAAAGCAGAATGAGCTACGTTCTCGGAAACGCCGTACTTCCCGTTGTAACGGGCAGGCAGGGAACTAGGGATGAGCAACAGCTGCCTGCGTTCTCGGGTTTCTACCTAACCATCGCTGCCTGGGTGGCGGGCAGTGTGAGCCCTGGCCGCGACCTGACCCTCCTCACAGGGAACGCACCTGTGCTTCTGGTGCATAGTAACAGCATGACAGGAGATAAACAAACAACAAAAGAACGTATGGGTCTTAAAAAGAAAAAACATAATGCCATAAGGGCTTAAAGGAGGTAGATTAATTCCAAGTGGGTGGGTTGCTTTGAGAAGGTACATTTGAGCTAAGCTTTAAAACAGGAGTAGACTCTGGATAAGGACTTCTTAACTTCAGGTGAAGTCTATCACCTAGATGAGAAACAAATGACATCTTTATTTTCACCAGTCCCTCCCTGACATTTAGCATTTCCTTCAGTTACTGATGCAGACCACACATGCAGTAGTAGTAGCAGAACCTGTGGTTGTTGTCACCAGTAGAAATTCCAGATATTCTGATGTCACATTACTACTATTGTAGATAATCAAAATATTATTTATGCTCATCACTCCTTGGAAATGACAGTCATTATGAGATAAACTGTTAGATAGAGTTATTTAACAAATCCCTTTAAAAAGCACATATATTGGCTGGGTGTGGTGGCTCACGCCTGTCATCCTGGCACTCTGGGAGGCCAAGGCAGGAGGATCGTTTGAGCTCAGGAGTTTGAGACTGGCTTGAGCAAGAGCAAGACCCCATCTCTACTAAAAATAGAAAGAAATTAATTGGACAACGAAAAACATATATAAAAAACTAGCCGGGCATGGTGGCGCATGCCTGTAGTCCCAGCTACTCGGGAGGCTGAGGCAGGAGGATCGCTTGAGCCCAGGAGTTTGAGGTTGCTGTGAGCGAGGCTGACGCCACGGCACTCTAGTGAGACTCTGTCTCTAAAAAAATAAAAAGCACATATATTACCATATCAAAAATTGAGGTTATTTTTTACAATTTTGTTAACTATTTTTAAATATGATTGGTTTTCTTTGTAAATTTATGGATTTTAGATTTTTATTCTGACAAAGGTAGATAGATTTCATCCTGTCACCCAACGCCAAGCGGGTCCGTGGCACAGGAGAAATAAGAACCCAGGGTAAGACAGACAGAAACTGCAGTGGACTCTCGCGTCGCAAGGCAGGCCGGACACGGGTGTAGACATCTGACTGCACGTCTGGTTTGAGAGTGACAAGACTAAGAGCTAACGCCCTTACAGGGCTTTGCCAGGAGCCACGACATGCTGCACTGTGTCAGTCCATTTAATTCTCCCAAACCACCATCTGAGGTTGCAGTGATCGTTTTCCCCATTTTGCAGATGAGAAAACTGAGGCAAGGAGAAGTTAAGCGACTTGCCAGCGGCCACACAGCCAGGAAGAGGGGGGGTGGCCGACTGAGCCCAGAGGCCAAGCTGACAGCAACTCTATCATGTGGCCACACACCACCACCAACAGCAACCACCACAGCAACGGCAGCAACCGAGCCGCTGAGCGCCGGTGGCCCAGGCGTCGCTGTGCTGCAGCCTCCCCCGGCGTTGTCTTCTCCAGTGTGCGGAGACCGAGGCTTGGAGAAGCGGCGGGATCTGCCGAGCCAGAATCGGAGCTCGGGTCTGTACGATGCGGGCCCGAGCTCTGGGCGTGTGCACCCCGCTGTGTGGCGACAGAGACGGGCCTGTGGTGTGGCGCGTGCAGCACACGCCTGGAAACCCGAGCTCACGCGGCCTTGAACGCACGCCAAGGAGTGCGACCCCAGCACGCGGCAGTAGGGAGTTGGGGTAGCTTTTAAGCGGAAAGCCAACATCATCTAATGTCTGTTTGGGGCTGATCGCCGTGGCATCAATATGGAGAATAAATTGGGGGAGCAAATAATTAGAGACAATGAGGCGGGGTGCGGTGGCTCGCGCCTGTCATCCCAGCACTCTGGGAGGCCGAGGCGGGAGGATCGCCGCAGCTCAGGGGTTCGACACCAGCCTGAGCACAGTGAGACCACGTCTCTAGAAACAAGAAACAAAAAAAAGACACACGGGAAAAATACACAAATAATTAGAGGCAATGGGACCAGTGAGGCAGCCACTGGAGCACCTGTCCTCGGTGAAGTTAAGATGAAGAACAGAGAGACAGAAAAGATGTTCACGGGACCTGGTACATAGCGAACGCCGTAGGGGTGGAATGAGGAAGTAGAGAGTCACAACTCCACCCAGGCGGCCAGCACAAGCCGAAGGTGGGGCCGCAGGAAGACATGCAGACTTATCTTTGGGGGGCAAAGAGAGTGAAATACAATGAGTTGTTCTTTGAACATGTTGAGGTCCCCGTAGAATATACCTGGGTGGGTACATCCAACTGAAAGTTGGAAACTGGGGTATGGTCCTCCACGCTGGAAGGTAGTTTGGTCTTTGAGGGGACCAAAGTTCAGAACTAGAACTTTGAACCTGCTCCTACAGTGCAGAACTAGACCAGACTCAGCCGATGCAAGAGCTAAGAAGTGGACAGAGAAGTACAAGACACAGAAGTCGGGGGAGGAAACTGCTCTTAGCAGGAGAGAGAGAGAGAGAGAGAGAGAGAGAGAGAGAGAGAGAGAGAGACAGAGAGAGAGAGAGAGAGGAGAGAGAGAGAGAGAGAGAGAGAGAGAGAGAGAGAGAGAGAACAGAGACAACAGGAAACAAAAAGCAATCAAACACTGAAATCGATCCTCAAGAAAGATTTTTAATTTCCTTTTCTGGCGGCCCTTTAAAATAGGTAGAAGTTGGCTTCTTCTTGGGTTTATTTAAGTTCTGATTTGCATAGAGACAGAGGGACGGAACAAATGACATTTCCGGGTCCCATCTGGTCCATTCGCAGACTGGAAGTTCTGTGATAAGGAACGAGGGAAACATTTGGGCTTCCAGGCACAGCAAGGAGAGGCGAAGGCGGTGGGAGTTGTCTAGAAACCCTGCTTTTTAATGGTGAAACTGGAACGGTGTGTGTGTGTGTGTGGGTGTGTGTGTGTGTGTGTGTGTGTGTGTGTGTGTGTGTGTGCGCGCGCGCGCACTTGCGTTGGGGTGGAGGAGAGTATTATTAAATAAAAGATTTAAAAAATCGGCCTTGAATTGTTCGCAAATTTATATGCCAATGCTACAACACTGTGTGAACCTCGGAAACAATTAGCAGAGAAATTTAAACCATGACAATTTTGAAAGAGCCTGAATATGAATGTGGCAAGACCTATAAGAGCGGTGGATCTTTGGGAGGAGTGGAAAAACACAGAGTGGTAGATGATAAACTAGTCAAGCAGGTGAATCATTTTAAATACCTGGAAAAATCTCATTAGCCCAGGAGGAGAAAGAATCCTGAAGCTAAGGGATTAAAATTTATTACAATAAAGGACAGTAAAGAAGATTTATAATATAGTCACACAAAGCCGATTATTAAATTTGGCAGGGAAACTTGGCTATGGAGAGGATAAGATAAAAAGACAATATGAGAGAAGCTGTTTAAATGAGATCTCGCCTTTCACTTGGGGCTTGGATGAGATTTTAAGAGTGGAAATATGCAGGGTAGTAAATATTGGTCATCACTGACCAAAATTTGCTTTTACAAAGAAAAGATAAACTAGAAAAATATGCTGGGAGAATTGGTAAAAGTCCAAAACTACAGTGAAATAATCAGTAAGAGTAAAGGAACTAGAATCTATGGCACGGTGGGGGCTCTGGAATGCCAGTTAGCCCAAACCCAACTCTGTGTGTGAATATGGCCCAGCAATGCAGAGGGCCAGCCCTAGTCCTCTTGGTGCCTGGTTCAGTTAGAGGTTTTCT